ACTCTTTCAGCAGAAAATAGACTCCTACCATCTGCTGGTTTAAGCTGTTGAATTAGTTTTGTACACTGACTTTTTCCATTCAGAAACTCAGATTTCATTTTCAGTTTAAACTCCTGCAAAGAAGCACAGGTGACCCCCTCTTGATCACAAAGTGGCTACCCCTAGCTTAGGGACTGGGGGAGTTGACTGCACTTGATGACATACCAGTGGAAAGGACTAAACATGGACTAGAAGTCCAGTATCCCTGTGTAAAACTCCCATTACTTGTTCACCAGCAACATACTCAGGGGTGTTTTTCTATCTACTGATGCCCTGGGTGGACACCTAATTAGTCGCAGAAGTGTATTTCCTCTGTTGGCTGAACTGCAGACTTTCTGGCTTTTGTCCCTTGAAAGGTATCCTGCACGTGGTCTGCCATGCTTTTATAGGGGTTGCAAAACAGGAGTCAATCCTAAAAATGAGGAGGAGGATCTTTCTTTTCCCCAGAAATTGCCTGAGAATATTCTTTTTTCTTCGTATCCCAGTTCTGCTTCCCCTCATGGTCCAGTGGATGCGGAGCCTGAGAGGTACTGGCTGCCTGAAGGTGCTGTGACAGGAATAGAGAGCAGTCCATCCCTCCCATCAGGACTACACATAGTTTAAGAGTGATGCAATTAGTTTTGCCTGGTGATGGCTGGGATTTTATCTCTTTCCAAGTTGACACTTTTGGTCCACAGTGATGGCATGAGAGACTAAGGGACCTATTACAAAATGAAAAAAAATATCTAAGCAAACTAGGGCTTCACTTATGTTAAGGTGCTGCATTCTGGATAGACAAGTAGAAAGCAATGCAAACCCAACCATAATATAATCTGATTCATATTCCCATTCATAAAACTGTCCTAAGCGGCACAAGTCTGGGTCACAAGAGTAGGTTACTTTCTAACAGATATTAAAACACATTATATAGTTATACATCAAAAAAATGCAATTCTACACTTAACACTCCTCTTTGAGAGCACATGCTTCCTGGGCACATTTGAAGGTAATTATTTATCTTGATGTCATTAAGTATTCACTTTTATATTTTATTACTGACCTCGGGGGGGGGAAAAAAAACAAGAAAAAAGTGCAGAATTCAATCTCTCCTTGAGCATTGCTAACACAACAGCTTATCTATGATAAACATAAAATTTGACCCTGAGAAATTTGATCTCTAGTAGAAATGCTCATGACTTCTTTAACTAAATTGTAGAAATATAGGATTATAATATTTTTAGCAATTGAATCACAGCTTAAAATAATAACAAAAGTAGTCTCTGCATGACAAGTACGTAACACTATGTTATTTGTAATTTGTATTTTCTAGCTGTTCTTTCCCACTCTTGGATTAATTATGCTTAAGTGTGAAAATACCTCACCAACATTAAAAACAATCATTAGCATTAATAACATGCAATAAGCAGCCATATAGTCACTTTGATAGTGTGATTTCAAATTTCTTTTTTTCTACTCTGACAGCTGAATGCGTGAGTTAATCAATCTTTTAATTTCGGGGGGGGGGTAATAGAAATTTTAAAGCTTTTATGTCTGTTTCAAATCTGCACATATTTTTATGGTCCTCTTCTTAACAAATCAGATTTGCCTCCACAACCTAAATACAATAAGCTTGCCCTTGTTTCTTGCTGTTGCAGCTTAATCTTGGTGGTGTAGTGTTGTGATCCTGTGCAGAAATTAAATAGTTGCCACTGGTCACTGCATTAACAACCTGTGTTCATCCTGAGTGGTTTCAGTGTTGACATCAAGAGAAGATGTTTGAAACAGACACCTTTC